CAGAGAATCACTTTTATAAACTATTGACATTCAAAGGAAAAAACCAAGAGTTCACTGCACTGATGATTTTGAGTAGTCAATGGCATACTCTATCTCTTACAACCAAAAATTTCATATTAAGGACAGTTATTTCCCTCCTCTCATTAAATTTTGTGCCAAACTACTGGGGCCACTCTGGCTGTTATATTCCACAGCTTTTTCCAATTAGTTAAGAAGGTACACTATGCATGAGTTTTCCCGAGTAACCTCTGACTTTAATATACTCAATTGCATCCTAAACATCCCCCAAAGTATTTTTTGCAAATTATCCAAATTATCTATTTAAAGTCAAGCTGTAGCAAGTAGTTTTATATACCCAATTCGTACAGGGCAATTATTTTTCACAGACACACTAACAGAGTATTCTTTAAAACAATGAACATGAAAGCATTTCATCCAATAAATAGAACAGGTTACTTACCTATAATGCTGATTTTCTGACAGATAAAACCAGATAATCATTACAATTACAGAGCTTGAACTCGGACTAAAGAATTTTGAAAACTGAGTACCCAGTACCTGCTCCCTCCGGTGACCAGGAGCAAACGTGACTATGAATCAGAGTATGGGAGTTCTAGTCCTGTATGTACCTCCCAGTAGTGCATCAGAATTTCAGTAAGTAACTTTTAAACCTTAATTACAGCACATACCCTCTGAGCGCTGTGAATTGTGCAAGACTGTTGAATCACAGACCTGTACCTCTGAAACACATAATACATCATATGTTAAGGGGAAAAAAAAAAAAGAAGCTAGCAGGAGGGGAAGAATGAAGGCGAGTAAGTCAGAGGGGGAGACGGACCATGAGAGACGATGGACTCTGAGAAACAAACTGAGAGTTCTAGAGGGGAGGGGGGTGGGGGGATGGGTTAGCCTGGTGATGGGTATTAAAGAGGGCACATTCTGCATGGAGCACTGGGTGTTATGCACAAACAATGAATCATGGAACACTACATCAAAAACTAATGATGTAATGTATGATGATTGATATAATAAAAAAAGGAAAAAAACAAAACCTTAATTATAAGTTAGGAAATGGGGACTGTATAATGCCACCTATGCTATCTACTTCTGAGTTGTAGTGGGTGTCAAATGAGAAACTAGAGGAAATCACTTTGTACCTTATGAAGCAAAGTACAAATGTAACATTATTTTATCTAGGGCAGAATGACTCTCTATTGCTTTCTAAGCAAAATCCATCCCTAGTCCTGGAGCCTTCTGGCCCCTCGAGAGAAACTTAGACAAATAGTAAAAGTAGTCTCAAAGAAAGTGAATCTACAATAAGACCTGATGAGGATTTTCTCTATGCAGCTTCTGAAACTGATGAAGATATCAAATGATTCACATAAGCGTAGTATAAAAGGACATATCATAATTATTTAAAGTACATTAATGTTTTCAGAGAATCAAGTTTAAAAATACAATTCCTATAAATATTCTTTAATATGGCTTGAAAATTTCTTCCCTACAGACTATATGAGCATTACTCTTTTGATAAGCAGTAACTAGCTTATTGTTATACTTTCATTATCTAGAAACTTGAAAATTGGCATAAACATTAATAATCTTATCAATGAGTTAACCCTTCAGGAAACCTCAAGAATCCAAAAACTGTTAATCTGACTTTTCATCCTCTGCCTGTTTATGAAAAGTTATCAGATCTTTAAATGAAGCTATCCAAAGCCCTTCAAATAATTTACTTAAGTATTCTTGTACAATGAGAACTCAGAGAAAATTGACCAAATCACATTTTCTTTTGAATATTTATTTCCCAGTGATTGGCCTTGTGAATTGGGAAAAAAAAGGTCTGAACATTAAAACCCAGGACTTTCCATACCTGCTCTCCCTAGAGCCAGAACTTCAAATCTGAGAGACCTGACTCAATATTTCTGATTCAAAATCCACAAAAGGTCAATTCCCAAAGAGAAAAAGCAAATCACAGTTAAATACATGATCTCAGTCAGTCTGGCTATTTAGGCCCAAAAGGGAGTCACTAGGTATTATCTACCACTTTAACAGAATCTTTCAACCTTGAAGACCAGTTTTTAGACAAAGTGTATTTCTTCTGATTCCCCACCCACTCACATCTAATAAAATAATCTACACCTAGAATCTTGCCAGGAAAAAAAGTTAACCTTCAGTCCCCCTTCCCTTGTTCCTAGTAGAGTTCTCCATTTGGAAAAATAAATATATAAAAGCACACTGTGGGTTTATGTGAATAAGAGGGATGGCATCTAGAGAGGAAACAGGGTTAAGAATCCAGAATGCCCACAAATTCATGTCTCCGGCCTATGGTCTAATTACCATGAATCAGGTCTAAGGCTAGGATTCTACACACAATATCTTTTCAAAAATTTACAAGTCATTAGATGACCCTATATGTAATACCCTTGCAAATAAGACAGATAAATTATAGGCTAAATGGTAGGAGAGAAGATTGCTGATTAAATAATCAATGTTAATTTAGAGAAGAGTTGCAAATGGAATGAGAAGAGCCATGTCCTCTCGGCTCTGGATAAAGAAATATGCCTGCTCAGTGTTTTCTATCAATAACATATTTTTGAATCTGGCCATCAGGAAGTATTCATTCCCTACTGGTAAAGATATTCATGTGTAATCTGGGCAATGCCCAATTCCCAGTTTCAAAGGCACTTATCTGGGGAAATTTACTAGCATGAAGAGAATAAGAAAGGAAAAAAAAAATTTGATGGGGGTGTATTTGTGCACCTGCATGTGCAGGAGAGTATTATTCCATCTACCCATTTATCTTTTTTTCTTTACCCTAAATGCATTTTCAAACCGACAGAAATTAACTTGAGACCTCAAAGCACAAGATGGGTATCATGATGCTATTTTTTACAATGACAATTTGGGTAAAAAAAAAAAAAAAAAAAGCCAACATTATATCCAACCATCTCTCAGCTCTAAACAAAAAGCAAAGGAAAAAGGACATTACTGAAAAGAGATGACATCTAACATGATCAAACATCCTCTCTCAATTTTCTTTAAATTATCTCTAACCAAAATGCTAATCAAGACACTCTCACTCTCCATCTCACTCTTCCCAATATGCTTCCGTTGGAGGGAAAAAAAAAGTTAAAAGTGAAGTGTCTAAAGGTGCTACCTTCAAAGGACTGGAGGAAGGCAAAAAAGCAAGGAGGAGTTATTTCTTTTGCCCAACGTCACCAAATGAGGCATTACATTGAAAATACTGTCGCCAAGAAAGCAACTACCACCCAAATCCCAAAGGACTTTGCACACCGTGAGAAACCCATGAAACTATATTGTTCTCATTCTCAAAGGCTTAAGAATATGGAACATTACTCTTTAAATATTATGGTCATTATCTTTAGACAACTGTTTTATAGGTTTATCATCCCTGAGAATGATCATCAGGAGAGCTCCAACAAAAAATGTAACATAATGAATTAATGGGAAAATATTTTCCATCAATATACCAGCTAAGCCTTAAGAGAGCATCTCTTTGCCAAAGAAACAATAAAAAGAAAAGAACAAAAATGAGTACCATTTTATAAAAATGCACACTTCTTGAATTCTTGGTTTTTCTCTAACATATGCTCTGCTTCTTCTGCCTGCAGATAACAACTCTGTTTTTAAAAACTGATGCATAATACTAATGGTAAGAACTCTATTTATCTGAAATTGGAAAAAACTTCACTTATTCATTTATTGAATTTTCTACCTCAAATTGGACTTCAAATATTTCAAATACATAAAAATGCTAACCGTTTTACAAAATGAATGAATAAAATGCTTGGATAAAATGACCTCTCTACTAAACTAAATAGTAAAATACATTTTATTAAAAAAAAAAAAAAAAAAAGGAAAATTTTCAGAGAAGAAACATGCTAAAAGGCCACCATATTATGTCATGGTCCACAACTAGGATTTGATACTTTGATCTGATACATACCAGAATCTGGGAATTGTCACAATAAGAACATTACAAAGTTTTCTCAAATCAGTGTTTTCACACAGCCTATAAAATCTGTGCTAATAATTCAAAAGCTTACTTTGTAGGAGTAAAGGTGATTAACTCATGTATGTCTTTTACTGTTTTTGATCACGATGTTCATGATAAGCACTGTTCACTATTCATTAATGTTCCTTTCAGGATTATTCAGAGTTAGCTCCAATTCATTTGTGTTACTACCCAGAATACTTTAAAGCAAATCTAAGCAAAATCGTGATAAATTTGGACATTCTATTTTTAAAAATACCTTCATTACAAAGGTTAAGAAATGACAGCATTTTAAGATAGCCTCCCCTTCTAATTTAGAATCAGGAGAAAGTTGTCTCCAATACTTTATGTAAACTATAGAGCCAACTATAACTCTTGCTAATGTGCTAATTACAATGTACAATTACCTATCATAGTTTTAACAGTAATATCTATTTCTGAAAATCATGAAAGTCAAAGGTAATGCATAAAGTACATTTTAAATGAAAAGTTTTAATTGGAAATTAGATAGCTTGCCAGATTTCCCTTATCTATACAATGTCTAAGCACTCATTAATTGTTCTACGCTGTCTGGAAGGCACAGACACTTCATAAAGCTCTACAACTATATATCCAAAGTGTATTGTGATAACTAAAGATGTTTCCATTTTACAAATTAACTGAAATGGTATAAAACTTATTAATAAACAAAAACGCCATCAACCACGTTTCCATGTCTTTTCTAATTGAGATGTGTGAAATATCAAAACTAGAAAAACCATATAGCCATTGAGAAGAGTAATAAAGTTGAGTTTTAAAGTCTTTCCTTTTTTGGAGTTTTTTTAAGAGTTGAGATAATCATTATGTTAAACCTAAAATTTCAGCTAAAGCATTAATCTTAGCTATAATAAAAATGCTATGAATAGACATTTATGAACAGATACCGAAAACGTGGGGGAATAATAAACAAAGCAGAATTCATGGTTACCATATTTACACATACTCTTTGTTGTGTTTCAGTGCCACATGATCTGATTCAAAGTAATAAACATCAGGATCATCATCTTCTTCTTCTGTATTGTGCGGATTGGCACTCTCTTTGGCAGATGGCAAATGTCCAATATTAAGTCTTGCCTCTGAGGGTGGCTTACTTAGTCCTTCACTCCCATAATTTTCAGAGTCACAAAATATTCCTTTTTCATTCTGAGAAATTTCATCAGGATTTGTGGGAGATTCACTTATGTTATCACTAACAGTTGCGTTTGTTTCATTGGGACTAAGATTATTCTCCTCAAATTGTCCATTTTCTCTGCAAGGAGAACTGTTTTTAGTGGGACTACCTCTGGTAGGGGCCGCCCTTCGTGGTGAAGTTCTCAGAGTATATCGATGTTCTTGAGGTTCTGATAAAGACATCATTTGAGCTGAAACACAGTCTAGAGCAGAAGATGATTCTGGTTCTCCAGAGACTGGCATACTCTCAAGACTTGTGTCCAGGGCGTTATTGGTGTTTTCATTACACTGCTCTTTTGAGACACTGCTATCTCCCACCACATCTACTTCCTCCTCAGAATCCCTTAAGGATGACTGAATTTCAGAAAAGGGGCCTGTAGCTGGCTCAGTAGTCAGCTGATTAACATGTTCCACAGGCAGGCAGGCAGTTACTATTTTGTGGTCCTCCAACTTGACCTGCACTTCTGAATTTGTGCAAGGCACGTTATGGTCTATATAACTGTCCTCCTTCCTACTATCAAGGAACATTGAAGTGTGGGTATCCGAATCCCCATTTTCAGCTACTGACTTTTCCTGCAACACATACGAACCAGTGCTATTTTGTTTAGTGTTCCCATCAGGCTGACAGTCATCACAGTTTATAACAGCTGAATCACTGTCATCAACACCATTGACAGCCAAATAGCCTGTGATTTCTTCAACTACTGCAGAATTAAGTGGCCCTTCCTCACTGACATTCACCTTTTTAATTTCCCTTTTCTCACAATCATCCAGTATAAGACATCGACAAGCTCGTTTAGTCCCTTGAAAATCTGCATCATTGTCCACTACTGTATTCCTCTGTTCTACTGACTCCTTGTCTGATTTTATAGGCGAATCTTCTTCTGAACTGTTTGGTGCTTCAGATCTAAGACAACGCTTAATTCTTTTTAAAACTGGTGAAACAGGTTCTGTTTGCCTTCTCTCACAATTTTCTACAGCCTGCCTTTCTACGTTATCTTTTTCTGAAGAAGAAAGTCCTCTTTTCCTAGGGCTTACCCATGATTCTCGAGTACTTTGCTGTTTTAAATCAGTAGTTCTTCCATTATTATTTCCTTTCTGAATCTGCACAGGCTCTGGTCTCTTCTTTGGTGATCTTGATCGTACTTGAGAATGAGAAGAGATTTCTTCAGGGTGAGCAATGCTACGATTCCTTAAAGTTCTACCACAAAAAGATTCATCCAAGCCGTTTAACCCCACTGTTGATCTTGTAACACGAGTAGATCGGGAAGCAGCCATACTATGGCAAGTCCCTACAATACGGTCATCATGATCCACTCATTGGGAAACCTTCAAAAATGTAAACAAAATAATGAGAAAAAGGTAATAGTTAATATACCTAAAACAAAAGCATAAAGCTATTAACTTTTAAATCCAAGTATAGCCAATATTAATTACGTGATATAATTTCTTTTATTAATATTTCCAAAAATGATATTAATAATAGCTAACAATTATATGACACTTAATATGTTCCAGGAATTCTTCTATATGCTTTACATACATTAACTCACTTAAGTCTCACACCAATTAAGATAGGTGCTATTATCATCCCTACTTTACAAATGAGGAGGGTGAGGTATCTGTACCGTTTAAGTGATCTGTCCAAAACCACACACTTAAGTGGCAGGGCAGGGTTCTAGAGACCATGCCCTTAACCTGCCCTGCTGTGTATCTGCCTCTCAGATACACAGGCACAAAGGGCCCAGAAAAGATTTCCCTGAAAGACAGGATTTCATCTTGGTTATTAAAATAATACCCTTGAATTTAGATAGCAATTATCACAAAAACTATTCCAATCATTTCTTATGTTTTCTCAAAACATTCCTGGGAGGTAAAGTGGTAGAGCAGAGCAGACCAAAAATGAGTTTTTGGTCAAATCCTTGGATGACAAACTATGTGACATCCAAAAAATTTTGGTTGCAGTAGAATTTTTGTAATCAAGCAGATGAATAGTATCACAATCCTAGCTTGCAACAGCTAAAAGCAAAACAGAGCAAAACCAAATCTCCCTAATCTCTAGAAGTACAGCCATAAATCAGCAAGTGAAAGGAAGTATTCTGAAGAGGATGGAAGAAAAAGAAAAGGAGCCCCAAAGCAAATATTACATCTAAGAAATCAGGACTACATATATATAACCCCACTTTCTCCTTTGAATTCCTGTATATACGTATATGCCACAGTTTTGACGCATGTTGGGAGATGAGCTGGTTTTCTGGTGTGGATGTTTGGTGTTTCTAAGGTAGAAATGCAAGGGAAATTGAAAAATGCCCTGACTGATCCATCTGGATAAACTCTGAGTGGTTATTATTTTCCAAAGTTTCCCCCATAAAGCAGAATAAAGGAGCTATTAACATTTTAAGTATCCATTCTTCTCTTCCTCTTCTGTTTAGCTTTCACAAGATAATCTGCCACTTCACTGCTTAATTTCCAAATGGGGTGTAGGATGGATAGAGAAAGAGGCCAATAATGGCTGTGGTAGGTAGTTTCATGGTATCCTCCCGCCTCCCTTTGCCATGCTTCCCATAGTCTCCTTCTCATATAAACCCTCCAAATGCCATTCTACCCCTTCCCCTGCAAACCAAATATAATCTCTCCTTTGCCTCAACTAGAAGTGTTTAATAGTAGAAAGGTTATGAAAAACTACAGAAGCCATAGCAACATGCTGCCACGTACAAAAAAAAGAAACATTAAAGGGAACTGTCTTCCTGTTTCTGCCTGATAACAAATGAATTTAAGTTTCCTAAAAAGTATGTAAGTTGACTGAGTTTAATTTTGTTTCAGAGTAAGGCATATTTTTCAATTTTTAATTAACAATTTTTTAAATCTTACAAGACTCACAAAACCAGCTCTGGGATTAGAGTATGATAATTTGTTCTAGAGAATTCCACAGCCATCTCATGAACAACAAATACAGGACACCAGTCAGAACTTAGAAATACATTTCACATAGTAAACTTTTACTATTTTGGGATTCATTAGAGGGATGTAACATGTAATTCTCTTTTGCTTAAATCTTGTCATGAAGATTACAGTCTATTTTAAATCACAGGTAATAAATACTGAATGTCCCATAAATACCCACTTTTAATTACAAAAAATTCAAGTTAAATTTCGAATATTTCAAAAAAGCACAAACTAAAAAATGTTAAAATCAGTTTATTTGTTTCATATACTCAAATGTGGAACTCTCAAATTTGAAGATTATTGATTTTGATATTAATTATCTATGTAAATACACAAACATAATATTTAAACTTTACTTACAAAATCGAATGCAAACATATTTAACACTAATTTAATTATATTCATAATTATTCAAAAATTGATTATGTTCATAATTTATGATTCAAAAATAGTACTGTCAACAGTAATATTTTATAAACACCCAAAAAAGAATCTCTTAATCTTTATTTTTTAAAATGTAATGCCAATTAAGGGCATATAAACTTCAAAGGATTCTAGTAACAGGTACCACTAGCCCTTCTTTTCTTTCCATACCAATCTAAATGAAAGCAAAATCTCTGCCTTGTCATTATTAATAAAATAAACCTATTATTATTACTACTCAGAGTTACTTGTAAAGAACATATATAACATTATTACACAGTATTATACATGTATACATATGTATAATTATAAAACACCACCTTAATGAATGCCTATTTCTTCACTATTCCAGTGATCAAAACACTGATTAATATGAAAGATGAAACCTCTTTTTGTTTCTTCTGATCCCTGAAAAGCATTTTTATTCCATTCATCAACCACAATAAAGTCCGTTTTAGTAACAGTTCTCAAATCCTGTGCTATTGAGCCATATTTAAAGCGAACTTGTTTTATACAAGGACCCTTTTGGTACCTCAAACTCTTGCAAACTCCAAGTGTGGCCTGAGAACCAGCATCATGGCAACTCTTGGAAGCTTGTTGGAAATGCAGAATATCAGGCCCTGCCCCAGACCGACCAATTAATCAGATTCCCAGGTGATTTATATGCCGATCAGGATTTGAGAAGCATTGACTCAGACCACTACATCCAGACAATATTCTTTTAAAATAATACAGTCATCAGGTTCAAACTAGATTAGATCTATGTATAATATATCCTTAAATTCCTTGAGTCTAGTAATAAAAATTTATAAATAAAGCCATGATTACTTTGGCTAAACTAGTACCAAAGAGAGGACTCAAATCTCTTGCCTGACATTAACATACTGCATGCACTTAAGGTAATAAATTGGTAAAAATTCTTAAGACTAAATGAAATTTAAACACTCTTCCCTCTGATTTTGTTTTCTTCTGTTCTAACCTTTTTCTTCATCTTTTCTATTTTGAATAGGCATATATAAAGGCACATACTTTCTGTAGTTATCTAATAAACTGAGCACAAATTTCAATTACCAAAAAGGGACTAAATCTGTCCTGATTATCTCAACCAAGTCTCAAAGTTGTTTTGCCATGCTTAGCTAAGTATTATAGACTCAAGTAGCTGTCTTCCTCATTTTAGCTGCATAATACAGTTACTGAAGAAATTCAGTGAAGAGGTTTGGAGCACAAAATTATATTCCTGCTAAAAATTAAATTACTAAGGGAACAGAAAGGAACTTATATACAAACTAAGTATCTCAGAAAATACCCTTGGCTAGTTAACTAAATAGGAGGCACATGGTGAAAACCTTAGCCAGCACCCAACTAGAACTAGAAATTCAATCATCTAATTTCAGAATTAAGGGAAACTATTAACATATTCATATGGCAAAACGTAATCTAGCAACTAGAATGAAGTTTTTCCTATATGTTATCTACCAACTAATGAATATGGCACTTCCTAGAACAGAAGAGAATATGACCAACCCATCACTATAATTAAAGAGACTCCCATCCTTTCTTCTCCACCCTTATAAGCTTTCACCCTTTTGGAGAGCACATCAAGGACAGTCAACCAAATTTCAACCTGTCTATTCATGTTAAGCCCCAAATCCTACCTATAATTCTAACATCTCACCCATGTTGTTGAACTATCCTCCCCCCAAATTTTAATCTACTTATACCTCAAATCTAACTGTAGGATTCTGAAACAGTATCAGCTGCATTTCAGATCATAAATGTCCAGCCCTGTGATCCCATCTGCAGAACTGCATCAATATGAACTAAAAGTAATAATAAACATTAAACTAAAATGGTCCACCTAATGAAACACTACTCTAGCTATCACCTTTACTTATGAGAAAGAAATCTCAAAAAGATTTTTCAAAGATAATACCTATAACCTTCTGCTCCACTATAATTACTAAAGTAGTATGGTTTATTTTGGGAATTGAGGGACTGGCAATCATCCATTAACATCAACGTTCTAGCCAATATTTATTAACACAATATTTAGTTTTATTAATTGAACAATTTTTAGGAAACTGGTCGTGATACCATACCAAACCAAAGTGAAAGGCAAAAAGAACAACTGGAAAGTATTACCAATATGATTTCTACCTAGAACATAAACATGAGTTGCTTAGTAATGGTTCAGACCATCCTTGTCATACAATTTTTTTAAGACAAATTTCTTCAGCTGAGCAATTACCACTATCAGGTTAAAAGTAGGAGAGTGAAACGTGGGAACCCACCTATGCAATTCAACTTAAAGTTCTTAATATTTGTGTTTTGAAGCTGTGAATTCTATTATGTACTGCCTTACATAAAGGGATCTCTTCTTTCTTCCCCATTAAGAGAGACAAATAGATATAGATAACATAGATACATTGACAGAAAGCTGAATGAATACATGCTTTAAAAGAAAATTGGGGAGAAGTAGAAGTCAAGGAATTTCATAATGCCCCTTGAATCAAAAATACCTAGGGTGTCAAAGACAGGTATAATGCTCTCGAGAGTCCAATGTACTTAGTCACTTCATTTATACCCCTGTTGCGAAGAGTGGGAAAATATTTCAACCCTAACCCATTCCCTATAGCTCCACATTCCTATGAACTGCCAGCCAACTGCACAAAATGCCATGCAGAAGAAAGTATAGAAATGTAACAAGTCAACCCTCCCACAAAAATATCAAACTATAGTTGTCTTCACTACTGCAAAACTAAGTAACTTACCTGTACAACCAAAGATCTATCATTGTGGAAATATTATCTCTTTTCCTTATATCCTGAAGGAGTTGGAGCTATGATCTAGAATAGAGCTTAAGCATCAGGGTTTCAGACTCTCAGCTTCAGCCATGGAGAATACTAGAACCTCCTAAATTCCTTTCTTTAAAATAATAAAAAAAAAAATTAAAGAAACAAATTAACTTATGCTAATAGATTTACCCCTTCTATAAGAGGAAACAGCAGATAACAGAGTATCTATTCATAGTAACATCTTAGTAACTCTGTAGCCTCGGAGATACCAAGAAACTGGAAAAGGATTTTTAAAAACCAACAAAAACAAAGCAAAAAGACCTTGAAATATACTGAATCCTCATAACAACTTATTACTAGTTTGCATCAAAATGTTACTCCATTCTTCTCTGGAGTCTACGGGCAATATTTTGTTGAGGTGACCCAAAGACTGCCTTTGATAAAATTTCTCATACAGAATTTATAATCTCTTACTCTTATTCTAGAGGCCCTCCCAAACTTTGGCCTTCAAGTATTCAAAACTGGGACTGAAAAATAATTTCAGTTATGCATACCAAAGAATCAAATAAGTCTTCAAACATCTGTATGATAACCCTGATGATTACTAAAGTGCCTTAAGACTCTATTATCATGAAAAATTTCTATTATTTTTGGCATATGGATTTTCAACTAGGACAAAAACAATATGGACTTTCTGCTTTTAGTACCCAGTTGGCCAGATATTTTAATTAATCTAAGTATACTCCATTTCTTGGACAGTCTCTTTAATTAAGAGTTTTACTTTATAATAATGTATATATGATATCCTTTTCAGAGAATCTGGCTAAATCGTTATCATAAGTGCCCATCTGGAAACAAGAAGGAACACCAGGGAAAAGACTAGTGATGTTTATGATGCAGACTGTCACTTTATTATAAACATGAAAGTAAATATTCTAAAAGTAGATATTCTAAAAGATTTTCACAATGAAGGATTACAATTTTAAAACTGATGCAGTTAACAAACCTTGTAAACTAGAGTTACTGCCTAGTAAAAATAAACAGATTACAGTTTTAGTAAGCTAGGAGATCAGTACTAATATCTAATATCTACAGATGCAACCTCTCCCAAATATCGCCTGTAAATTCGTGAAAAACACAACATAGGAAAATTGTCTAAATAAAATTATTTAATACATTAAGAAATATTCTAAATTAACATAAGGAGGGTGCACAGTGAAAACATGATCCTACAAAAAGTAACCCTTGACTTGAAAATTCACTCATCTTACAACAAAGATTCCAACTGCCAACTCCTTAACACCCAACCTCGAAAGCCTTTCACAAACATGGCAAAACGTTACATTCTATAGCGTGTGGTGGGGGTGGCAAACATCAGGGGCAGAGGATCCACAATTTAAGATGTATCTCTGAGTACACATGGAGATGCCCATTCCATCACTTTATTCCAGTTCCAGTTGGCCACCTTCTACCCATTGTGGATTGGGTTTACTATAGGAGCCTCACTCATTATATTTTTACCAGGCAAGGATATCTGCAACTGTCATTTTCACAGAAGAACTGATACTTACAGCTGAGTTCTAACAGTATTATGATAGACAGGATCACCCAGATATGTTTCTCAAAAGCCTGATACACTGAAAAAGAAACTTTAGTCAATTACTTCTACTAACTAAAGCCCCCTTGGCCTTAATTAAGATTACATTTTTTTCTTACCTTTTTAAAAGTGTTTTTCGCCTAGTATTTGATTCCCAAGCGTCTGTATTTATCTGTCATCACTGTTAATGTCCATGTTACATTGAGACTTCAGGTATTAATTATTTATATGGATGTACTAGCACAACTTGATATCTGTGAAGGGAAACCACAATATAGTCACTATGGATGTGTTACTGTTTACAGGTATGTGGATAAAAGTGATATTTCTAAACACTTAGATAACACACTGCATTCTCTACTAAGCTGTACAAATAATTCCTTATATTAGGCTACAAAGTATGTGCTATCTTCAATAGACTAAGATGATTTGCTAACACTCTTACCAATGCTTCTCAGAGTACCCACATAAAATGTTTCAAAATTTAATTCTAAATTAAAATTCTTACAAATTTGAGAGCTCTACAGATTCCTTTTCTAACTACCAATGTAGACATAGCTCATTTTCCAGAAGCCTGTAATTGCTCAGGCATTAAAAGTATTTTGGAGCTCCTGGGTGGCTCAGTCGTTAAGCGTCTGCCTTCGGCTCAGGTCATGATCCTAGGGTCCTGGGATCAAGCTCCGCCTCGGGCTCCCTGCTCAGTGGGAAGCCTGCTTCTCCCTCTCCCACTCCCCCTGCTTGTGTTCCCTCTCTCACTGTGTCTCTGTCAGAGAAATAAATAAAATTAAAAAAAAAAAAAACAAGTATTGTGTGTGTGTGTGTGTTTTTTACAATAAATCTATAATGGTTAAAAATGCAGTAAAAAAGATCATGACTTTCTCTTAAATGTGACTTTAAAACATTCCATGTCTTTTAGAGTAATGATTTTGTCTTATCCCTCTACAAGTAATTTTTGAACAGTAGCTATCCAAACATTCCCTAAAAGTTAGCTTCTTTAGGGTGCCTGGGTGGCTCTGTCGTTAAGCAACTGCCTTCAGCTCAGGTCATGATCCTGGAGTCCCAGGATCAAGTCCCGCATCAGGCTCCCTGTTCAGCAGCGAGTCTGCTTCTCCCCCTGACCCTCCTCCCTCTCATGCTCTCTCTCATTCTCTCTCTCAAATAAATAAAAAAATCTTTAAAAAAAAGTAAGCTTCTTTAAAAACCTAAGATTTTTAGATTATAGATTACAACTCTGAGAAACACGTCAATGAACTTATAATCATGAAAAAAAGCATTATATAAACTTTTAAGTCATTCCAACCAGTTTATTAGAAATACATGAGTTACAAAAAACCTCATTCATATGTATCATAGAAATCTACAAATGGCATTCTAAAATGATTTACCATTGTATGCCATTCCAAATTCCCATATAATAAAAAGAAAAAGCAAAAATCTACACAGAAATGCAGATAGCCAGAGTGCCTGGGTGGCTCAGTTGGTTAGGTGTCCAACTCTTGATTTTGGCTCAGGTCATGATCTCAGGGTTGTGAGATCAAGTCCCAAAGTTGGGCTTCATGCTGGGCATGGAGCCTGTTCTGGATTCTCTTTCTCCCTCTCCTTTTGCCCCTCCCCTACTTGCGTGGGCATGTGCATATGAGCATTCTCTCTCTCAAAAATGGAAGGAAGGAAGAACGGAAGGGAGGGAGGGAGGGAGGAAGAAACGAAGGAAAAAGATAGCCTTACACCCGTTTGTGAATAAAATTTGATAGTGGAGTTGTCAACCTGCCAGATCTCACCAGTGAAAAGCTTCATTATACTAGAGTAGAAACTTAATATAATGTTATGCCAGTTATGTTTCAATTAAAAAAAAAACCAAGAGAACAAGACGATGGAATAGTGTTTAAGAAACACTGATATCTACCAACAAGGACTTACAAGTCTATTCATTTGTTTACAAATGTTAAACAATACCATAAAAAATTAACACTATTAGCGTAAACACTAACATCTTTATTACTAAATTTAAAAGTTGCTATATATTCTCTTGTAACAAGCAAATTATACTAGCCAAAATTCTTATATTCCTTACACTGCATTCTGTTTTCTTCACTATACATTTCAAATGGAGCAGATAGGGTAGTTTGGTTTGTGATAGCTACAATAATTTTTTATTTGAATTATTTAACTATAGTAACTTCCAGAAATTTAAAAAACTTAGCTCTTCTGTCTTTTAAAAGCATACAAAATGGAAAACCATTTAAATCCTATTCCTAAGGCCTTCGTATTTATTCCTTGCTACAGAACTTTGCTTGTTTTCACATACTAATAAAATCAACAGACTATTCAAGAATTCCAAAGGCAAATCCAAAACCAATCTTGACTGAAAAGAATTACTTTTCCTACTATTTGCAGTCTAACACTGGTGCTACTGTGCTAAATAGATTACAGAATCTAAGATTCATGGCACATATGAAATCACTTCAAAAGACTACAGAAAATCCCACTAGAAAATATTACCAGTTCTACTGATATAACAAAGTTATAAGCTACACAACTTACTATAAAACTGTGATGTCTAAACTAAATGCAACCTAAATTATAAGACACTGAAATTTTTTTAGTTTTATAGAACCTTAGAAAAATTTCAAGACAAAAGTTACATACAGATTCATATTAGTACCCAATTCTTCAGTGGCTATAAGTGAAAATACTGAATTGTGCACTATACCCTATCTTTAAATGATTTTAAAAGAAACAGATGAGGACATTCAAAGGTGGCTGTAAAAAGCATTAGGATAATGCTCAGGGACAGAAACACCTTTGCTAGACAATTAAACTTATCACACTCACTTGCTATAGATAACTAAATTGAATATTTGGTGCAAAGTATAACCAAAGAAGAGCACACTTTCCTGGGTCCCTAAGTTGTCTGGAACCACAGTTTCTGTGTCTTGGATGCCTTCAAAAGATTTTAGAGATAAACCTATATTTCACAGTCAACAGAAAGGTAGCAGAAGCATGGGTTTGATAGGAGACAGAAATATGATTCCCTACCATCAAAAATAACTAACAACTATCTGACCATGAGTAAGACACTTTGCTCTTCTATGCTTCATTTCCTCATCTAATAAACAGGAGTACTTCTCAGGGTTACTCTGAAGTTCAGAAGAGATTATGTCTGTGAAGTACTTTAGCTTACTGGTTTTCAAACACTAGTGTGCCTAAGGAATTCCCGAACCCTGGGGCGCATGACTGGCTCAGCTGGTTAAGCATCTGCCTTCAGCTCAGGTCATGATCTCAGGGGCCTGGGATGGAGCCCTGCACTGGGCTCCCTGCTCAGTGGGAAGCCTACATCTTCCCCTCCCTCTGCATGCATCTCCTTCCTCTGCCTGCCGCTCCCCCTGCTTGTGTTCTCTCTCTCTCTGTCAAATAAATAAATAAAATTTAAAAAAAAAAAAAACAAAACACAAAGGGATTCCTGAACCCAACTACCCCAGAAATTCACATTCAGTAGTTCAGGATATGCATGCATAAATCTACATCTTTAATTAAGCACTTCAGGTCATTCCAAAGTAGGGGCTCCCCAAGGATATGGATCATACTTTGAAAAAAGTTACATCAGTTTCTTCTGAAGCTTTAGTGTTCATAAGCACTACCCTAGGTACTTGTTTAAAATGCAAATTTCTAAGGGTGCCTGGCTAGTTCAGTCAGTGGAGCAAGTGACTCTTAATCTTGGTTGTGGGTTCAAGCCCCACATTAGGGGTAGAGACTACATAAAAATAAAATCTTTAGGGGCACTTGGGTGACTCAGTCCGTTAACCATCGGACTCTTGATTTCAGCTCAGGTCATGATCTCAGAGTTGGGGGGTTGAGCCCTATGACAAGCTCTGCACTCAGCAGAGAGTCTGCTTGAGATTTTCTTTCCCTCTCCTCTGCCCCTCTCCAACACACTTGAGTGTGCTCTCTCTAAAACAAATAAATCTTTGGGCGCCTGGGTGGCTCAGTTGGTTAAGCGACTGCCTTCAGCTCAGGTCATGATCCTGGAGTCCCGAGATCAAGTCCCGCATCAGGCTCCCTGCTAGGCAGGGAGTCTGCTTCTCCCTCTGACCCAACTCTCTCTCTCTCTCTGTCTCTCTCAAATAAATACATAAAATCTTTAAAAAAAATAAAATAAAACAAATAAATCTTTTTTAAAAAATAAAATATTTAAATAAACTACAAACTTCTAAACCTCATCCTTAGAAATTCAGATTCAATAAACTTGGGGCAGGACACAGAATCTTCATTTTATCAAATACCACAGGTGATTCAAATGCAAATAGCTCATAATCCATCCTTTTAGAAACCCTGCACTAGATTCTTTCCCCTACATATTTCCCATATTGTATCCCACCTCTGTAGTATCAACATCCAAGACCAACCTTAGGTTGGTCATCATCACATTCACATAAACTAACGTACCTGCCTTTTAATTGGTCCTTCTACTTTTAAGTCTCATCCCTTATAAATGCATGTTCTACAGAGTGATCCAAAATGCACACTCATGTCCCTCTCCTACCTAAAATGCTTCCAAGGGACTTCCACTCTTGGCCAAGACAAAGTAACAGGAATGAGATTTATGCTGTCACCAAAACCAACTAAAAACAACTAAAAATCTAGACAATATGTATGAAAACATTTTTTCTTTCAGACACTGGAAACCAGACAACGTAACATAGGACAGTGATCAATGAAAAGAGGAGAAACAAATGAGGCAAAGCTCATAATTGCTCCAGCTTACTGATGGGAGAGTTTCCAGACCACAGAGTGTGGAGGGTAATTAATGAGTTAAAAAGATGAACTGAGTAGTTTGGGAAGACCAAAGTAACTACGGTCCCCAGAACATCAGAAGATCTATAGAAATCCCCCTCAGCCTTGACCTGAGTACTCATCATTGTGCATGTCCAAGGCCTAGAAAAGGCTTGGAAAACCATCTATAAGGAATACAGAGAATGATATACATAGCCAGGGGTATACTGGAAAATTTCTAACAACCTGGAGCAGTTAGTGGTTTGTAGTTCCCGGTTTACAGGGTTACCAATGTCTGTGGTATGAATATTCCCACCTGCAGCCAATTTCAAGCTATTAACTATCACTGAGTGCTAAAATTAGAAAAAGATACATGGTAGCACATCAAACATTATATAGTATTTCTACCATAGAGCTAGAACAGATGTAAATTACCAACTGTGCACAAAAATAATATATAATAGGATAAAGAGGTAATGAGTTT